CTTCCTCCCTCTGCTTCATTTTCAGGTGCTCGATGACCCCAGCGAGGACCACTTATACATGGGTAAACAACCCTTTTTTGCACCCACTTTCCATGAAAAGTATTGAAAAAGCAGAGCCTGGGGAAATGATTTTTTTTCAAAGTACAGCTTCAGGGACTCCCCTCTCACCGAAAGTAACTTCCTTTCTACATCCACAATATGACATGACTTCACTTCCCATTGGAGCAGGACAGGGCAGAGCCCGGTGGTTTCCTGGACACAAGAGGGGTGAATCTGTGGCTGCCCCATGTGTGGGGAAGCGAGAAGCCGACGTATCTTTTGCATCGTTGGATAACATTTAAAAAAAAATCTGGAGTGCAAAATTTTGGATCCCAGACAGGCTTACAATAATGAGAGCACACCTCTGTTCGCCACAGCTGGTTCTGACGCCGTCCCTTCCTTTGTTAAGCCTTACACGGGGCTTGATCATCTTGAGCCTGCATCTTGAGCCTCCTGCCTACCCAAGCAGGGAGGTCCAGGTGGAAGGAAGACAAAAATAGATATTGGAGAATATTTCTGTATTCCCTCCCCTGGTGCACCTTCTGGTGTTTGTTTCAAGTGCCTTTTTTATTTTCTGTCAAAAGGGTCTATACAGATGAATTGATTTTAAAGTGTAACACAATCTTTCCGCTTGCTATCCCCGGTGCTGTTTTCTTCTCTTAGTGCTGTGGCTCAGGTAGAACCGCTGAACAGCTCAGGGGTTGACGCCTCTAACTGCCAGAAGATGGCAGTTCAAGTCCTTGCCGGGCCTCCCTTACAGGGGCCAGACTTGATGATCTATAAGGTCCCTTCTAGCTCTGCATGACAATGGCAATGGTTATTCTATTTGTATTAGAAACTTAGCTGCTAGTTTCTTGTAGCCGCTCACCCTCTCTGCCCCTGACTGACTGCATGATCTTTGTCAAGTCAGTTGATCTATCTCATCGTCTCCCTGCCACAACCAGGGAATAAAGAAGTTACGTATCTAAGGCTGGGGAATAAATTCAGAGTGAAGGTGTGCTTTTTGACTTCACGATGTTTGCTAAGCCAAATCAAACTGTCCACTTCATCCTAGTAGCCCTGTCTATGCCATCCAATTATTTAACTCAAGTCCTCCAACAGATTATTAAAATCAGGATAGTTGATTTTCTCTCTTGCAGAGGTTTCTCCTCATAATGTAATCTCCTCTTGTCTTTCTCTTTTGTGTTTCAGTGTTTGAACTTGTGAAGAAAGGGTAAGGTGGCTTTCTGTTCTTGCTTTTAGCAATTTATGCAGAACTAGCAACACACTGTGTGTGTTACGAAACAACCTGACATGTAGAGTGGGTGTGTGTGAACAAAGTCTAGTCAATGGTATTGGGACATGTATTGTTATTTTTAAATCTGTGTCTTGTTTTGGCAGTCCTTGGGAAATGAAAAATGAAAGACCATAAATAAATAATTATAAATGGATAAAACTGCCCTGCTTTTCTCCATCCCGCGTTGTCCCGCCTTCACCTCCCTGCCAAAGGGAAGAGACCTGCTCGCTTACACTCTAGTGACCCCTCTGGCCAGAAGGCGGGATTACATCTGTCCACTCAGCAACTCAACTCCTCTGTGTCTTGCCCCCTGCAGGCCTGTGATGGAAGTGCCAAACCTTAAACCTCTTACTGAAGACCAGGCTCGGTTCTACTTACAAGACCTAATTAAAGGCATTGAATACTGTGAGTTCCGTTCAGGGGTGTTTAGAAAAATTGGGGGGGGGGCAAATAGGAAGCAGATATTTCTGGAGCTATTATTATCTCCATTATATGTTCTGCTTCCAGGAATTCCTATTCCCCAGCCTCCATATTTAGCAACATCATCCTAATTTTTGCAGACTAAGCCCCAAATGGAGATAAAGGCCTGATCCTTCATTGATTTCAAAGTTTGCATCTGACTCTTGTCTTTTCTACACAGTGCACTATCAGAAGATCATCCACAGGGATATTAAGCCTTCCAACCTCTTAGTCGGGGAAGACGGTCACATCAAAATAGCAGATTTTGGAGTGAGCAACGAGTTTAAAGGGACGGATGCCTTGCTCACCAACACAGTGGGCACACCAGCATTCATGGCTCCAGAGACCCTTTCAGAAACCAGGAAAATATTTTCCGGAAAGGTGTGTATAGGTGTTTGAACTAGCTGGAACTTGTGATCTTTTCTAGTTCTATAATTCTGTGTTGAGAGGGAGAGAGAGAAGAACTGGATGTGTCCTTAGCAAACAGGTAGTGATAACTGAATTGTTCGAACCACTCAAAATAAGAAATATAGCAAATTTTGGAAAAATTGGTGCATCTAATTTCTCTTTCCCCTCCTTCACTCATCTTTCCAAGGCTGTGGATGTCTGGGCAATGGGGATAACGCTCTACTGTTTCCTCTTCGGACAGGTAATCAGACGCACTAAATTAATTGAGGTGGGCAGGCATCTGAATCGGGACCTTTTTGTGTAGCCGTTTTCCTGGTAAAGGGGAGTTAGGCTAGCTACTTCTCTACTGTACCAGATTGCTTTATTTCTCTTCTGTTGTTTTGTAAGTTAATCTCTTGGTTTTAATCACATTTCTGGTTAAGTATTGGGCAACCGGAGAACAGAAGCCTACATCCACTTGCTAATCTCAACTAGAGAAATCCCATAGAATCAACGGAGGTTGCTGAATTTTTGACTTACAGATATTTGGTTCAATGGGTCTAACTCTGCTCGGGAGCACCAACTGGATTTGAGCTAGAAGGGAAAATAAATGTAAACACAGTTTTTAATGCTTAAAAACCATGCCCAAGATAATGTCTGTGCATTTCAGGGCAGGAGTGTGGAATCCAGATGATCCAGATAAAGGCCCTATATGTTAAATAAATGCAGATCCCCCTGACGTACAAGTGAGAGAAGCTTAATGGAATTGAGAGAAACACCTGATAAAATGGGCTTAAAATTTCGTGTGATTTGATATCATCTTGACGAATTTTTTCCCCTTCTAGTGCCCTTTCATGGATGAGCGGATTCTGAGTTTACACAGCAAAATCAAGAGCCAGACGCTGGAATTTCCAGACCAGTGAGTTTAATAGAATAGTAATGACGTTCAGAATATTGTTAAGCGGATCCACAGAAACGGTGAACTGCTCACAACCATTGATTGCCTTTTAGACTGTGGTGAGTTTCTCAGCCCTCCTCCCGGACCAGGAGAAATGGAAAGGGGGAAATTGGCCTGATCCTGCACAAAGAGGCTCAGGGTCCGGCATTTTAGAGGTGGAAGCAAACCTCCGATTCGGCAGTGCGTGCTGCTTTGTTTATGAGCCGAACAGGTCCCGCCTCCTCTGTTAGGGCGCTGCCTCCGATTGGGTGCCCGCCAGAGAAGGTGGAGCAGGGTGGGAAGCGCCAAGCACCCGTTCGGCCGATAAACGAACTGACACGAATCCCCGAACCGTCTCTAATTCCAACATGGGCCGCAAGAGAGCATTTCCCCCATCGCTAGAGAGACCGAGGTAGCTTCAAGACACAAAATGGATCATTTCAGTCTTGCTTTTCTCGGTTTCCCTTTTTAATCGTCACCCTAGGCCGGACATTTCAGATGAACTGAAGGAGCTGATTACGCAGATGCTGGACAAAAACCCAGAAACCAGGATTGGACCAGGAGAAATGGAAAGGGGGAAATCGGCCTGATCCTGCACAAAGACTCTCAGGGTCTGGCATTTTAGAGGTGGAAGCGAACCTCCGATTCGGCAGCGCGTGCTGCTTTGTTTATGAGCCGAACAGGTCCCGCCTCCTCTGTTAGGGCGCTGTCTCCGATTCGGTGCCCACCAGAGGAGGTGGAGCAGGGTGGGAAGTGCCAAGCACCCATTCGGCCGATAAACGAACCGGCACGAATCCCCGAACCGTCTCGAATTCCAACATGGGCCGCAAGAGAGCATTTCCCCCCTAGAGAGACCGAGGTACCTTCAAGACACAAAATGGATCATTTCAGTCTTGCTTTTCTCGGTTTCCCTTTTTAATCGTCACCCTAGGCCGGACATTTCAGATGAACTGAAGGAGCTGATTACGCAGATGCTGGACAAAAACCCAGAAACCAGGATCACCGTCCCAGAAATTAAGGTACTGTTATCAGTTCTAAGCCTCTCCTGAAGTGCAGGATTCTAACCTTTTCCAGATGCTTCTGTTTCAGGTTCCTTTAAATAGTCTGGTTGTGTTCTCCTGGAAGCCTTATCTTTCTTATTTCTTCCGCTATACGATGAGCCTTTATATATAGTGGAAGAGATAAGAACGATAAGGCTGCCAGGAGAACACAATCAGGCTATTTAAAGGAACTTGACAAAAGAAACAGAAGCATATTTATGTATTAATTGAATAGGTCTAGGGTTCTCTCAGGTAAAAATCTTCTTAAATCATCTTACCAAAGGGTTAAAATCCATTAAAAATAAATTCCAGCAAACCGGATCCTAGAGAGTATACCATTGGAAGGGCTTCCTCTGACCATACTGGTTTCTTAGCAAGGTGGGGGCATGTATGTCGAAGCTGCCCCATGGGGAACGTAGCGCAGGAACGCCCATCTAGACATTACTGTGGTGTGAAAAATCTTCTTAAATCATCTTACCAAAGGGTTAAAATCCATTAAAAATAAATTCCAGCAAACCGGATCCTAGAGAGTATACCATTGGAAGGGCTTCCTCTGACCATACTGGTTTCTTAGCAAGGTGGGGGCATGTATGTCGAAGCTGCCCCATGGGGAACGTAGCGCAGGAACGCCCATCTAGACATTACTGTGGTGTGTATCTCAGCACCTCAGATGGGGCCTCCGCTGGCAGTACGGTGGCTGGATTAATGTCGGATTCTTTTTCTCCACCCACCCAAATGACGCAATGATCCACGTTTTATTTTTAGCCGCAAATCCACAAGGGGACTTCCTCTGTTTTGACATTTCTCATATTCCAGGCTAAGAGGAAGCTCCCACCCACCCACCGCAATTCCTGTTAAAACGGACTCTGTTGCTTCTTAAATGTCTGTCTTTTGTCCGTTCTCCCCATCTAGGTGCACCCTTGGGTCACCAAGAACGGAGCGGAACCCCTCCCCACGGAGGACGAGAACTGCACCCTTATCGAGGTGACCGAAGAAGAAGTCGAAAATTCGGTCAAGCACATCCCCAGCTTGGCCACGGTGGTGAGCGACACCCAGAGTGCGTGGGGGGGGGCTCAGTGTGTTTGGGATAGGCTGGCCTAAATGGCAGTCTAGAACCGTGGTTCCCGACCTTGGGCGCTGATCCCCTTGAAGAAGGGATATAATTATCCTTTCTCACAGACGGCCCTCTCTAATAATCAAAAATGAGTAATAACGGAAGGCAATGATTCCTTTCTTCCCTTATAGATCCTGGTAAAATCTATGATCAGGAAACGATCTTTCGGGAACCCCTTTGACGGGAGCAGAAGAGAGGAGAAGCCCACCTCTACCCCGGGCAGCCGGTTGACGTAAGTGTCTCCGAGGCTACAAAGCCAAACCTAAGGCGTTCAACAGGTAGAGAATTTGGGACAGGAAGTGGAGGGGGGGAAGCCCTTGGAAACTAGCTAGAGGGTTCTTGACGGTGATGGTGAAGGGATTTCCCTGGCAGAGTGTTGGAGATTGATGTCTATTGCAGGGGGTGGGACAGGGAGGCCCTCCAGATGTTGCTCACGAAACCTCCCCTCCACGCCTCACCGCTGGATGCGCTGGTGAGGGTTGACGGGGAGTTGTCGTATGATCTCTAAAATGCTGCGCTTTGCCCTCCAGTGTGCCGCTGTGGCAGGATGTTCTAGGGCGTGGATTTCACACAGGAAGACAGTTGGCGTGACTTAGGAACATTTCCAAGCTTTTGTTTTATACCATGAGGGCTAGAAACCTGTATTTTAAAATAAAAATTAACGAAAGCCATGATTTTTAACACTACCTAAAAAGATTCGGAACTCAAGGAGAGGGGGAATTTTGTTGTTCCTTTTCAAGATTTCAGTGTTTTTAGCCTTAAATCTTGCCTTTTAATGAGGTACATCACCTTCATCTACTCACTGTTTCGTTCTTCAGTGTTGTCCTTAAATACTGTTAAGCCGCCCTGAGTTCTTTTTCTAAGGGGAAAGGCAGGGTAAAATGGCTTTAAATTAAATAAATAAATGTAGGACACAGCTTGTAGGCTACCCAGTGTGGTGTAGTGGATAGAGTGATGGATTAGGACCCTGAGGGCCTGCGTTCGAATCCTCGCTCAGCCACTGAAGGTCAGTGGGGATGTCAGACTGGTAAAACTGCTCTTTAAATATCTCACTTCCATTGAAAGCCCCCTTAGGGTCACTATAAGCCAGTGCCGACTTGACCACATGTAACAACAACAACACACCTCGTAGATCCATGTTGTGGTTTCGTTGGCAGTTCTGCTTGCTTGGGGCGACTTCGTCCGATTTCTTTTTTTTTTTCCTGCGTTGTGTTCTTACCTCCGCTTCCTCCTCTTCCTCTCCTTCTCCCTCGCCCACCCGCGCTTCTAGAAAAAACAAATCGGGAAGTGTGAAATATTACGTCACTCAAAGGTAACGAATGCGATTCTACCTGTCTGTCCGTTTTGCTACGAACGGGGGAAAAGCAGGCATGCTGCAAAAAAGCATGACGCCAAGGGGGCGCCTGGAATGCTTTGGCCTTCGACCTTTTCTGAAATGTGCCGCATGGATGTTTGTTTCGAATTAGTGACACAGGAGGGAGCTAAGCCGGTGAATGGGCGGAGAGATGGATGTGCACGTAGCTGTTAGCAGGGCGTCTCTTTGTACCTCTTCCGGTTTAAGTCGTTCTCTTAAAAACTGGCTTCAAAACAATGCTCCCACTTTATGGCATATGGAGTGCATTGCTGTCCAGTGGCAGGAATCTTAAATGCATGGACAGTTCTCTTAAACACCAGAGCCCTAAGGCACATGCAGAGTGCTTTATTTTTTTAAAGTGCCTAGCTTTATTTAGTACAGCCGTTGCTCCCATGAGGCTCCCTGTGTAAATCAAAATATTCCTTGGCACACGGGAGCTATTAGAGGGAAGCAATTAACCATTTTAGTGCAAAATATGTAAATGCCGGGGTGGCGTTTTCCCTGGACTGAATCACTACCGGCCACTCTTCTGTATCCGGTGGTAAGCAACCTTCTCTCTTTCTCTCGTGTCATCCCTCGTCTGACCACAGGCAACACATCTGGCTTTAAACACACCTTTTATCTCCTTTCAAAGCAGGAAGCCAAGCAACGAGGACAATCTTAAGAGTATTAACGACCTGCCCAATGTCGGCGAGGACGAGTTGCTTTCTTGAAACGAGTGATTCGGGTTGATGCAAAGCTACCGACCATCACGACGACTTCTTTATTTTTCTGCAAAGCGTATGTCGGGAGAAAGGTTCCGCGCCTACGCTGAACTGGCCAGCGGTTTCATCATGCTGGGAATCGGAGATCTGCTGAACATAAAGGAGTTTTAATTTTGTTAAAAACTAAAATAAACGACAGCATGCACTACAAACCAAAATCCATCCACAGGTCATCAAGAATGACCATTTCTGGATCGCTTCTGGGACCACAAGCAGGGCTAACCTGCTTAGACGCAAATCTGGATCAGCACCTGGTGTCGATTTTACGAACGAGCGAGCGAAAGAAAGAGGTTTTGGACTGAAACAAGCGCGATCGGACCAAATATTTCAAAGAAAAACTACGGTCTGTGTTTTCGAAACTTCGTCCGGAAGCGATGCTTTGTGTCCCACTGGGAGTAGAACGTGTTTTTGCTATCTGCCAGGAACGTACATCTTTTCTAACTTGTGTTTAATATTTTTCCCTTTGTATTGACATTTTTTTACTGTACAGAAAGCAAACAAAGAGGCCACATGACGGGTTTTTAGTAACGTTTTGCTTTTTTGGAAGTACCTTATTTGCAGCTTCGGGCTTGGTTTTCCTAGAGCTTTTAGGAAACCCGAAACCTTAAAAACAGATTGATGTAGATTTTGAGTCCTCCAGAAGTAGAACGGAAAAGGATTTTCTTTCTTTCTTTTATTTTGTTTTAGGGCTCACAACGCTAGAGTCTTGATGGGCTTCAACATGGCCGTGTTCAAGCAAAAATTTAGAACTGCTGGGTGAATTAGATAAATCTGTGCAATTTCTCAAAGCACTACGATAAATTACTGTCGTTTCACATGCCTTCGATGCCTATATAGATCTGTTTTTAAAATCCAGGGTCTTTAACAAAATAATCTGACACTTCTTGATGTGTTTCCTGGTTTAATACAAGATAACATAATGCCTCTGCATTTTTTAATATGCTCCAGCCATTCATAATGAAACAACACATAATGTTACAAACTTCTCTTACTATCTGCTTATAAGCAACAATAGCTACTTCCTAATTTTTTTAAAAAAAATCCTTTCAGAAGGGGGCCAATCCTACACATTTCTGAAGGTGCATAGGTACTAAGTTGAGGCGTCGTCTATCTGAACAAATTAGGTACAGAGAAGTTAAACCCCAACCTAAGGAACAAATCTTTTCCCCAGACTTTCGTTTTTGCTATGAATAAAGACTGGATGCTGGAGTAACTTAGCAAAAGGTAGCTGGGAAAACATGTATATTTTTAATCTCCCTGCAGTCCAGGGTCACATCAGAAGCAACCTAAAAACAGAGTATTTCAGGAATTTTCTCCCACAGTCCATTTTAGAACTGTAATTTGATTTTTCACATCCACTTCCCCATGTTTTACAGTGGGGGGCACGGCCCTGGGAGGATGACCGCAAGGTGCTTGTGTCCACGTCCCTTCCGCCCTTTTCCTCGCTCATTTCATCAGTTAAAAATCCTTAATAATTATTATTTTTTACTTCCCCTCCTGGCTTTCTCCCAGAATTAGGACACAAGGCGGTGCACCAGAAAGATTTTTTTTTAAAAAAAAGTGCAGGCGGGCGCAGAAAGGTTAATATTAAAAGCACCATTAAACAAATTAGATCCTTTGGAACGGTAAAAAATAAGTTTAAAACACATTGATTCAGAGAGTAGATGCCTGCCCACACTTCGTTGCCAAGAGCCCAGTCGGTTTCTTTGCTGGGACTCTGAAAAAAATGAGGTTTAACATATGAAAGGGCCTTTTCTAATGCTGTATCCGTGGATTCTATATACTGTAGATGCACACCTAAATAAGCATTCAAAATGCATGACCTATTCAAAGTAGTGTATCCGGGAAGCAGTCTGTTCATCCCTCCACCCCCCCAGGTACTTGTTTTGTGTTCATGTGCTGGTCAGTAGTACAATTATTGTAATCTGGGCTTTTTAAAATGATGGTTTCTTTTCAACACCCTCTACTCCTCTCCTGGAAAGGATAACATCCCTGCTGAGGTGCTGAAATGCGGTAAGGAGATCATCACCACTGAACTGTATGAAGTCTCTTGTCTCTGCTGGAGGGAAGGTGGAGTACCACAGGACATGAAGGATGCAAACATCGTCACATTGTACAAGAACAAAGGAGACAGGGGTGACTGCAATAACTACCGTGGCATCTCTCTTCTTAGTGTGGTAGGGAAGCTGCTTGCCCGTGTTGTGCTGAAGAGGCTCCAGGTGCTTGCAGACAGAGTCTATCCAGAATCACAGTGCGGATTTCGAGCTAATAGATCCACCACTGACATGGTATTCTCCCTCCGACAGCTGCAGGAGAAATGTAGGGAACAACAACAGCCACTCTTAGTGGCCTTCATAGACCTTACAAAAGCATTCGATCTGGTTAGCAGGGATGGCCTTTTTAAAATACTTCCCAAGATTGGATGTCCACCGCGTCTCCTTAACATCATCAGATCTTTCCATGAGGGAATGAAAGGCACTGTAGTTTTTGACGGCTCAACATCAGACCCCTTTGACATCCGAAGCGGAGTGAAACAGGGCTGTGTCCTCGCACCAACACTTTTTGGGATCTTTTTTGCTGTCATGCTGAAGCATGCCTTTGGA